ATAAGACTCCCTTAACATCACTATTTGTGGGAAAAGACAAGAGAATATGATGAACACTCATAAAGCCAAAAGTTTCAGTTCATGCCAACCAATATTATTTGCAAGTCAGAGAAAGAGGAAGTGGCCGTGGAGTTAAATTTTGAGAGATGAACAGGTACCAAGATGAGTAAGAGCATTTGGGACAAAGAGAACAACATGAGGGAAGGTGGAGAAGGGTGAATGAGCAAGCAGAGCTCAGGAAACCAGCAGCCCTCATATTCATATTGGTGAATAAGGATAGTTACTGAGAATGAGTTACCAGGGGAGACAAGCCGGGGGCCAAGCCACCAAGGGCCTCTTTGCCATACTGAAGACTTCCCATTGCTTTGACAACTCAAGCAGCAGGAACTCAGGCCATCTATTACACCCTGAACTGAAACGGAACTAGTAGTTACAGAAATTTAAAAATAGAAAAAAACACAATGTGCTATAGTCAAACTGGAGAGAGCCACATCCTCGCAAGGGAGTATATAAAAACCCACCTCTCCACTGCCCAAAACCAGCCTGCATTCAGAGGTTCCAGTCCCAGAACCGACATTTATTCACTACATGAGCAAGTCACCTAATCTCTCCGAAAATTTTTCATCCATCAAAGTGAGGATATTTATGTCTTTTTACAACATTATCATGACGATGAAATGAGTCTATATCATAGGTGAAAGCATATGTAACAGTGCCTGGCATAGAATTACACAGTAAAGGCTATTTTCTTTTTTCCCTTCTTCTTTTCTTCTTGTACATTCTTATACATTAGCATAACCTCACTGAAATGAATTTCTACCCCTCCACCCATTCAAATCTTACTTTACTTGTTTATTCGCTTATTCATTAGTCCATTCATTCAGCAATTGTTATTGAGTGCTTGTCATGTACTAAGAAATGTGATGAAGCTAAAGATGAATATGGCAGTGCCTACTCTATTGGAAAGGAGAAATAAATAAATACACAAAGGCAATGTAAGAATAATATGAAATCTTCCTTGACTACTCCAGTTGTAAGTGATCAATCATTTCTCTGATTCCTTATGCCACTTTCATCACTTACGGCAAAATTACCTTGTAATGTAGTTAACTTTTCAAGTGGCTGTGATTCATCTCCCCAACCAGACTTAAGTTCCATAAGGATGGGCACCATATCTTATCATTTTGCCATCTCTTCAGTGCCTTGATCACAAGAATTTAATAAACACACATTAATAATGGTGATGAGCTAGAGAAGCAGGCCCTTATTCACTCACGCATTCGCGCAGGTAAATTCCTATCATTAGCGCACTAACACTCTACTCCCCTTTTTTTGTCTTATCATGGAATTGATATGAAAGGAAATAAGGCATGCACTGTAAGTTTTCATTCACAAGACTGCTGTGTCATATCCCATCCCCTACAAACGGTCCTATTCCTAAACTTCAGCCTTTCTTAAAAGTCTTCAGTCCTGCCATGCCCCATTTACATTCTGCAGATGGATGATCTAGCTTTCTCTTTCACAGAAAAAGTAAAGCTCCTTGAATGAACATTTCTCAAACTTTCTCTCTCCTGTCCCTCACCTATACACTTTTATATACCTATTTGTCTCCTTCCTCACCCATCTTCATTCTTGCTTAACACTATACTCTTCATCTCTTCGCTGGATCTAATTTTCTCCCAACTTCAGGTGAATCTTGCTTCCTCACTTACTCGTCCCTATCCCATGCCCAGTCCTCAGTATGTTAAGCCTTTCTCTACTGCCCCCTTCCTCTAAGCAAATAAGCATGTTCCAATGTCTCCAATTAAAGAGTAAGAAGGAGAATAGAGGAGAGAGAGGAAGATGAAGAAAACAAAACATTCCTTGACTGATCCCTCCACTAACTGCCTTATCTCTGCCCCACCTTCATAGCCAGGCTTAGTTTGGGTGTAGACAGAATTTTTAATGACTTTCTCCAAAATTAAAAAAAAAACGAATGCAGTCTCAATGCAGAAGTCTTAGAAAACATACTACATAAGCATTTTGTTGGGTTTTTTTTTTTTAAAGATTTTATTTATTTATTTGAGAGAGTGAGAGAGAGAGAGAGACAGAGTACGAGAGGGGGAAGGGTCAGAGAGTGAAGCAGACTCTCCACTGAGCTGGGAGCCCGATGCGGGGCTCGATCCCAGGACTCCGAGATCCTGATCTGAGCCGAAGGCAGATGCTCAACTGACTGAGCCACCCGGGCGCCCCATAAGCATTTTTTTATGTCTTTATATTTTATTCAATATAACTTTAAGTGAGGAACTTTTTTCATCATATGACTGAGTCATGAATTAGTTAACTAGTGCCTTATAATTGAACATCAAAGGTATTTCCAATTTTTTATCATTATAAATAATGCTGTGATTAGTATCCGTATATATACATTTTTGTGCATATCTCTGATAATTTCCTTAGTAACAAAGTGCAATTTTTTTGGCCAGAGACCACATTTTGGAAGGGCTTAATAGACTCACAGATAACTTGCCTTCCAAGACTGCATTTCGCATTTACACTTCTCTCCCTGACGTTGACTCTTCAACCCACTGAAGTTTGACGCCTGAATCTGTCAGAATCTTCCTCCAACTTCTAATTTCCAGATTGACTGCACTAAACCCAAAGCATTTGACCCACTGTCAATTCCCTCCCACCTCCCACGAAATTTTTCACCTCTCTTGGTTTCTGTCACATCACTGTCCCTTGGTTTTTTCTTGCCTTTCTGGCCCCTACCTCCTAATTCAGTTTTTTCTGCCTTGCCTGTGTTGCCTATTAAAGTTATTATGCTTTCTTTGAACTTCTTCTCAGTGTATTTGATCCTCCTGGTCAATCCCATCAAACAACATATTCAACTACCATCTAGAGACAGATGACTCCAAAATCTCTACCTCTGGTTTAGAAATGTCTCTCCTTAGCTCCAGGCCTAGTATATCCAACCACCAACAGGATGTTGCCTTCAAACTTGATAGTTCCAAAATTGAACTCATCGTCTTTCCCCCAGATGTGCTCCTTTGCCTGCATTTTGTATCTCAGTTATGGTGATGACTCTTACCTGTCCGACTAGAAATCATGGGGCCATCCTCACTAAATCCTACAGTTTTTTTCCTAGAGTTCTCCTTTCTTCTGAACTGTGCTTGCCATAACCTGATACGTTCACTTATATAGCACTTTGTACTTTGAACTATGATCATTTTTTTGTTTTTTTGTTTTTTTGCATTTTTCTATCACTTGTTATTCTGTAGCTTTGGGGTCTATGTATGTCATGCATCCATGGAGAACTGGCTTTGCGCTATTAGTCCGTAACACAAAAGTTCCTTTTTGGTAAGAAGGATGGTAAAAATAATAAATTGTTTACACTCAGTAAATGTTTGATAATTGAATAAATAAACAAATGAATGATAGCATTACCGCCCCTTACCAAAATGCTGAAGCAGAAGGTGTTATCTTTGCATCCTGTCTCTCTTTCCTGCATCCTTTCTATTATTCTTTCCTCTCCCAAGGCATTCAAGCCTTTCATGTTGACCAGTCTTTTCTGTGAAAGAGGGAAAAAAATGATCTGATAAAAACTTTCACTGTGAAATGCATGATACCTCTCCCATGAATATTTGCATGTTGAGAGGTCAACGGGATAGCACAAATTTAACAAAAGCAAATGAATGAGAAGTGGGTAAAAATTTGAGATTCATTGGAGGATGTTTGCAACCATGTCATATTGCCTAAGTATAGCAGAGACAGAATTTTTACATGATATAGAGTTTGATTTGAAAAACATGTTAGGGTAGATTCCAGGATTTGTTATGCACTATAGAGAAACCACAGTCTTAGCTCATCTTCTCAGTTGACAACTTGGTGACATGGGCTGTGTTGTGGAAGTCAGTGGAGAGTAAGTCCCTCCCTGAGGGATTAAAAACAAAGCCGTATTCCCATTGTCTAAAATGGTCCCTATGATACATGGTTTTTATGTCAATAAGCCACATATCTCAATCTCAAAAACTACCATCCTTTATTCAAAAGTTTAAAGCAGGGGCGCCTGGGTGGCTCGGTTGTTAAGCGTCTGCCTTCGGCTCAGGTCATGATCCCAGCGTCCCGAGATCGAGCCCCGCGTTGGCCTCCCTCCTTGGTGGGAAGCCTGCTTCTCCCTCCCTCACTGCCCCTGCTTATATTCCCTCTCTCTCTGTCAAATAAATAAATAAAATCTTTAAAAAAAAAAAAAGAGTTTAAAGGAGAAAAAAATTTAGACATGCTAATTCTATGCACAGTTCTTATATTAAGTCATTAAAATCCCTTCTTAAAGCTTTTCGGGTATTTAAGTGGATCTAAAAGAAAAGTGCAGGGCAGTTTGTATCTCAAGAATTATATAATACTCGGGGCACCTGGGTGGCTCAGTCGTTAAGCGTCTGCCTTCGGCTCGGGTCATGATCCCAGGGTCCTGGGGTCGAGCCCCGCATCGGGCTCCCTGCTCTGCGGGAAGCCTGCTTCTCCCTCTCCCACTCCCCTTGCTTGTGTTCCTTCTCTCGCTGTCTCTCTCTGTCAAATAAATGAGTCTTTAAAAAAAAAAAAAAAAGAATTATATAATACTCAATTAGCTTAGTTTGTGCTTTTTTTTTTTTTTTTTTTCCAAACTAGCAGTGGCCCCCAGCTCTCTGTGGAGAATAATGCGCTCGCAGTAATGCTGGAGGCACAGCGGTTTCCCATTTTTTCAGGCTGCAATATTCCTCATTACACACAGCTAAAATGATGTTTTACATTGACACACTGGGCTTTCCAAAACAGGCCTACATTCATGCAATACATTGTTTCATTGGTGAGGAAGGAAGAAATACCAGGGTGGGACCTGGGCAGCAAGAGACTGGTCTTTGAAGAGCTATAACATTATTTCACAAACTGCACATCTCAATCCAAAGATATTTTACATTGCAGACACTATAAATCTCAGCACTTTTTTTAGTATCAGCTAAAATAATATTTTCTTTTATTCCTAGGAAGACATTACCATGAAAAACTGAAGCATTCCCATTCCACTAAATAGTAATTCTTCATTTCACTGGTATCTACATCGGCCACCGTTGCTTTCTAAACCAGTAATACCTGACAAATGGCAGAACTGAAGGTATATTTCTGTTATCCCCACCAAGATGTGCTATGAAGAAGGCAAACACGATTCTGCTTCTTTTCCTCCTTTTTATTTCTCCTCAGAAGTATCTCTTCAAACACAGTACTTCATTTATTTACCTGTAACATTGATTACGTATCAATTGTGTGTAAGACATTTATGTTCTTCACCATTATTCAATGCTCTGCTAGGGCCTTTTTTTTTCCTTTTGGTGGTGATAGTAGGGGTGGTCGTAGTGAATTTCTAAGGGGTGGTCAAGAATGACATAGAGACATCCACGTCCAGCCAAGATGAAGAACAGTGACCAGACTTACCCTTCTGTCTGAAACAACTAAAAAAAAAAACCAGACAAAATATATTATATGAGTGGTTTTCAAGAAATCCGAGCATCAGAAAATTAAGGACAATGATCACTCAGAGACAAGAAAGAAATGAGGTGAACATTAGGAATGCCCCAGCTTCCTAACTGGGGAGAGTTTCCAGGCTGTAGCACAGACAAGGAGAACCCAAGTAGAGCCCAGAGGTGTCCCTGAGTTGAGGAAACAGAGCTGGAAGTCTGGGTAAGCCACAGCAGCTCGAATTCACAGGGAAGAGGGAGCTGTGGGCAGCATTGTGGAGATCTACAGTGGGTCTCCCTGGAGTATAAAAGAATTATACCCCATAATAGAATTCTCCCCAGAAATCATACAGGTGATGGGATTAGTAGACAAAGATACTGCAACAGTTATTGTAACCGTTTGATACACTTACTAAGTTAGAGGAAAGATTGAACATATTAAGTAGAGACATGAAAATATATAAAAGATGCAAATCAGACTTCTAGGAATGAAACTACAATGTCTGAAATGAAAAATGCCCCTTATGAGAACAGCAATAGATCAGATACTACAGATTAAAATATTATTGAAATTTCAGACATAGAATTAGAAACCATCCAAAAAGAAATACAGAAAGAAAAACACTGGGGGAAAAAAAATGAACAGATCTTCCACAAGTTGTAGAACATCTTCAAATGGTACCCATAAAAGAGGAGCAGATAAAATATTTAAAGGTATAATGATCAAATTTTTTCCAGATTCGATGAAAACTATAAACCCATAAATCCTAGAAACCCAACAAGTCCTACACATAATACAACACATGAAGAAAACTAAACCAAAGAACATCATAATTAAGATGCCTAAAACCAGTAGTAAACAAAAAAAGTATCTAGGGAGCAAGAAGAAAAAAGTCATATTATGGACAGAAGAACAAAGATAAGGAGGATAATATAATAGACTTCTCATTGGAAATATGACAACTGAGAAGACAATGGAGCAGCATCTTGAAAGTACTGGAAGAATAAAACTGTCAACCTCGAATTTTGTATCCAGTAAAAACTCTTTCAAGAATGAAGGCAAAATATTTTTTAAATGCACAAGCAGAAATAATGCATTAAAAACTATGAACAATAAAGAAACATTTTTTCTTATTTTTTAACTCCCCCAAAGGATAATTAGTATGTAAAGCAAAAATAATAAAAATGTATTGAATAGATTTTAAACATCATGAGTAGTTAGGGAAATGTAAATTAAAGCCACAATGAAATACCATTACACATTTTAGATACTAAAATATCTAAAATTAAAAATACTGATGGCATGAAGCAACTAGAGCTCTCATGTGCTGCTGGAGGGAACAGAAAATGGAACAACCACTATAAAAAACAGTTTAACAATTTCTCAAAAAATTAAATACACACCTAGCAGCCCCCGTGAACAGCAAATGTTTCAGTAAATGAAAGCATTCCAAACCATCATCCAGTAGACCTGCAACCATCCATAGTGGGAGGTGAGTAGTAGAAGGTGAAGAGAATTAGTCATTCTCTTCCTAAGCCAAAGTAAAAGGCTTAGAGAGAGATACCAATTGAGAGAAATCCCTTTTTGCTCATAAACCAGATACCATTCCACCTGGCAGTACCACTACCTTTGGAAGATAAGCACAAATTCTCATGATAAAAAAAAAAGATACTATTTTGAATCCTACTGTAAAAATCTTTTTTTTTTAAGATATTATTTATTTATCTGACAGATAGAGACACAGGGAGAGAGGGAACACAAGCCAGGGGAGTGGGAGAGGGAGAAGTAGGCTTCCTGTGGAACAGAGAGCCCTACGTGGGGCTCAATCACAGAACCCTGGGACAATGACCTGAGCCGAAGGCAGACGCCCAACGACTGAGCCACCCAGGCGCCCCCCCTACTGTAAAAATCTTACAGAAATAGCTATAACACAACTGTATAATAATAAGCCTAGAGTAGTATGATAATCATACATTGTATAGCAGGGCTTTCAAGTTCAACATTTGAAGCAATAATCATTTTTTAATTACTATAATTTATTTTACATTTAAGTAAGCAATTTTAACAGCAAAACATTTTTTAATTAGGCACATACAGAAACTATTCAAATTAGCTTAAGCCCCCATTTTCCCACACTCAAAGAGATTTCTGAAAGCCTTGCCAAAGCTCAGACGTGGTCTTTGATAAGTCCAACATTTTACCTTCCCTTTTCTCACATTGAAAAATCAATCACTGGGGGCACCTGGGTGGCTCAGTTGGTTAAGCAACTGCCTTCCGCTCGGGTTGTGATCCTGGAGTCCCAGGATCAAGTCCCACATCCAGCTCCCTGCTCAGCGGGGAGTCTGCTTCTCCTTCTCACCCTCCCCCCGCCTCATGCTCTCTCTCTCTCATTCTCTCTCTCAAATAAGTGAATAAAATCTTAAAAAAAAAAAAAATCAATCACTGGGCCCTAGCAAAAACAAACTACTCTAAAATATCACTTCTCTACTCCCTTTTAATTTTTTAAGCACAAGATGTATAGAAAACATGCACAAATAGTAAGTTCTCAATGGGAACACAGCCATGTAACCATTTCCCAAGTTAAGAATTTGTACAGTCCTAGACCTCAGTCCACTTGTGTCCCCTCCCAATCATAATCCCTGCAGCCCTTCCCTGAGGTAATGGATATCCAGACATCTAACACTATAAATTAGTTTTGTCTATTTTTGAACTTTATATAAATGGAAAATCATACCATAAGTTTTGTTTGTTCTCCCAACTTTTTATTTGAAAACTTTTAAACCTACAGAAAAGTTATGAGTGTATAAAAAAAAACCCCATATATCATTAACCTAGATTTACTAGTTGCAAGTATTTGGCCACCCTTCTCAATATATCTTTCTCTCTTTGAATAGATAGATTATTGATTAATAGATGATAGATAGATAGATAGATAGATAGATAGATAGATAGATAGATAAATAGATAGATCATTAGAAACTAAATTACAGATTATGGGCATGACACCTCATTTTTAAATACTTCACCATGCATATCCTAAGAATAAAGACATTCTCTATATAACCATAATATTATCACACTTAAGAAAATTAACAATAGGGGCACCTGGGTGGCTCAGTCGTTAAGCGTCTGCCTTCGGCTCAGGTCATGATCCCGGGGTCCTGGGATCGAGCCCCACATCGGGCTCCTTGCTCAGTGGGAAGCCTGCTTCTCCTCTCCCACTCCCCTTGCTTGTGTTTCTTCTCTTGCTTTGTCTCTCTCTGTCAAATAAATAAATAAAATCTTTAAAAAAAAGAAAGAAAATTAACAATAATTCCATAATATCTAACATCCAGCTCATACTTAGTTTTCCTCAATTTGCCAAAAATGACTTTTGTAAACTCTTTTTCTAAGCAGTATTCAGTCAGGTCTCACTTATTACATTTGGTTGTTAATTACCTCTTTAGTCTCATTTAATCTACTATCTAATCCCTGCTTCTTTTTTTCTCTGTGACATTTCCTTTTTGGAAAGTCCAGACCAATTTGTCTTTTAGAGTACCCCACAATCTGGATTCATCTGTTTCTCTATGGTATCATTTAACTTGTGCCTCTGTCCTCTATATTTCCTCTACACTACAGATTAGGTCTACAGCCTCAGTGAATCCGGGTTAAATATTTTGGGCAAGAAGACATCATAGAAGTATACCCATCTATCCAATACACTCTCATATTCTTTCCTCCCATATATTTCCCTCCCAATTCTCTGTGGCTATTTCCAAGAAGAGCAGCAAGTAAGCCCCAGGAACTGTTCAGTAAAACTACTGAAGTTCACAGAAAATGCGGAAGAAAAACATGTCAATGTGCATGACAATCTGGCTTAGATGGCTGCAGTATCATTTTCATTGAGGTCTTGGCTCCCTGACCCTCACGATGACAAAACTGAATCTTGAATTTCATGTAAAGGGACAGCATACTTTTTCTTAGTATTATTTCAGAGAGGAGTAGCCAAGTCTGTTTTTGCAGATACCATTTATTAAAGGCAAATATTTCCCAGTGCATTTCATGTTTATCAGCATCAAAAAAAGCAGAGAAAGAGAAGTGAGATGGAATTAGAGACTCAGCAGGGGAATGATGATAGTATTAGAGAGGTGGCTTTCAAACATTTCAGACCATGACTTCCCACCACATATACACAAGCACAGATAAAGTAAAAAAAAAGAAAAAATCCTAAAACAATACTTACCCTTACTATGTGTGAAGGAACCCCAATATTTTATATCTTAGTCTTACATTATTTTTTTTAAAGATTTTATTTATTTTATTTTATTTTATTTTATTTTATTTTATTTTATTTTATTAAAGATTTTATTTATTTATTTGACAGAGAGAGACACAGCGAGAGCGGGAACACAAGCAGCAGGAGTGAGAGAGGGAGAAGCAGGCTTCCCACTGAGCAGGGAGCCCCATGCGGAGCTCCATCCCAGGACCCTGAGATCATGACCTGAGCTGAAGGCAGATGCTTAAAGACTTAAAGACCAGGTGCCCCTAGTCTTACATTATTTTTTAAAAAATACAAGAATTTGTGTTTTATCTATAAAATTTTTTTAACCCCCAATGGTTCGAGTCCTGGAGTTGGGGGTGGGGGGGAAATGCATTAGGCTAAGTGTTTAGCAAATACATGAGGAGGAATTGGATTAATGGTAACAGCCTACCCGAGTAGAGAATTATCTGTTAAATTTTAATTGTTCAAACCAATTGTTTCCTTCAGCTATAGAATTATATAAAGATCAATTGGAGTCAAAAAACACTTGAGTTTGAGTTCTTGCTTAACTATTTTCAGCCATATTACCTTGAGCAAGTCCCTTAGACTTTGCTGGGACTATATTCCTCCTCTGTGAAACAAAGATGATATCAACAAGTCCCCCGAGTTGTTGTAGAGGTTAAGGGAGAGAGGGAATGTGAAAGGCCTAGCACGAAGCAACAAATGAACACCATGTTCCGGTTCCGGGGAGGGAGCGCAAAGGCCATAGCACAATTTCCCTTTTGCTTGAAGAAATCAGAGTAAGTAAATCACGTGAGCTTTTGGAATCATTTTAGAGTGCCCCCATTGCCCCGATAAACCATCAGTTCTATGTTTCAGACCATCTGCTGAAGAGTGTAGGTCAGACAGTGAGAAGCACTGGACAAAACAATGATCTCAGTCTGTACCTAGGTCCTCTCAGAGTGACACATTTCTTGGATCAAGAAGTGGTGGAAACTGGCACAAATGACCAGCACAGATGATGTGAACTTCCTGCCATGCAAGGAGTACCTAAAAACCAGTAAAATGGTTTAAATTTGTGCAGGTTTACTCCTCTAAGTGGATGTGTCTCGCTCATCATTTGTTTTAATTATTCCTGATGTGTTGCCTATCACATCACAGGCTTCTTCAAAGGGAAAGGAATAAGCAGTTGTCATAACAACAAAGCTCTTCATTACCCTGGGAACCTTCGACAGCTTTATTTAAAATGAAGGAGAAAAAAGAACCCTAACCAATTAGCTTTATCAGTCTGATTCATGTTCTTAAACTGATAACAGTGTTTCCTGAAGAACTTACAATTTGATGGGGAATGTGTCATGAATATTTATGGTAACATAAAACTCAGGAAAAAATTGGCTAGCTAATTATCACTTGGAAGGTGTTTCTGGTCAAATTCCTGCCCAGTGATCCATTTGATTTTTTTTTAATGAATTTTATTAAACAAATCAAAGAATTGGTGGGACTTTTGCCAACAACTATCCATTGGTTCAAGAACAGCAATGAGACCTATTTAGGTCTAAACTTTAAAGCCAGAGCTTCACCTTCAGCTAATTTGATTTGCGTTAATTTTGCATTCAGTTAAACCAGAAATGTTCTTTCCTACCTCTACCCTTCCTTCTCTGTGCCAGAGATATAGCCCAAGTCCCTAGAGAGTCTTAATTCTGCCCTTCTCTGCAGAATTAAAAAAGCAGATGTTTTCTTCTGGCTGCAGGAGATAAGACTGAGAAGTAATTATTGTTCTGGTTCCAAATCCCACAGGTGTTTTCATTCCTGCCCTGTGACCACAGGAAAAATAAACAGTAAATCTGAGAAGGTCTAGTTGGGGTGCTCTTCAAGTTCAGATCTGAAGCCAAATGTTTGAATATCTCCTGCAAATGAGAAACTGTGGAAGTAGGCAAACTTTTTTGGTAAAGAACTAGATGTTAAATATTTTTTACTTTGTGGGACCAAAGGTTTCTATCGTGAGTACTCAGCATTGCCACAGTTGAGGAAAACAGCCATAGGCAATGTGTAACCGATGGGCTTGGCCCAATTCGATCCAGCCATTGTTTGCTGACTCAGAAGGGTTCCCAAGAAATTAAATGTCTACCACCAAAGGAACAAGTACATAAGTCCTTTAAATAAACAAAAACCGAACGCTTGGAAAGAATGTTCACAAAGGATTTTCACATATAATATTTTCATTTAATCTTGAAATAAGGATTACTCTAAGAGGCAGGCACATCATCTTTTTATCTTACACATGAGAAAAGTAGACTCAGGGTGCTCAGGTAACTTCCTTGCTTTTCAAGATCAAACAGCTGATCTCTTGATTTCAGTTTCAAGGATCTTTCTACCACATACCCAACTGTCTCATAAACAATGCACTCTATACAGATCAAACAGGAAGAAGTATGAATTGTAAAATTTCTAAATAATGCTCCAGGGGTAAGTGTAGTTAGTGCTCAAGAGCCTGAAAAAAAAAAAAAATCCATCAACACTCCTCAAGTTCTGTTGAGTCCCCCATGACACTCACTTGAGCATTATGCCAAGCTGTGAATAACCACAAAGCCAGAAAATTCTGTGTCCTGAGTTCCAGGTCATTTCAGGAATTAACCATACAGGCCCAGTTCATTCCAAACTGCCTGCTTTCCCAAACTGACACCAAAAAGAATTTCATCAATATTGGGGGGGTCAAAGAAAGAAATCCACCCAGAAACAGTCCATACTGAATCAAATGCAGGAGCAGTTATCGATCAGGATTGGAACATACTTGAAGTCCACATATAGGAAAGGTTCTTGTTACCAAAGATTGTGCAGAGAGCTATTACTTAATTATGACAACTACACACAGTCAAGATAGTGCATTAGGAAACACAGATGCACCATCTGTTAAGGAAACATGATTTAACTGATTTTTTTTTCACTAGACTTTAGCGTTGGAAATATTAACTCTACGTTGTTCAGCTCAAATGAAAGTCTCCATGAAAAATATTGCTGATGGGTCATCTCTAAATGATATCCTCCATCTCCAATTCAATTTAATTCTACAAGCATTTACTGAATGTCTCCTAAGTGCCAAGCATAGTAAAATAACCTCTGCCTTCAGGGAGTTTATACTGTTAACAGTAAGAATAAAACACATAAGATACAAGGCAGAATTTGGTGTAGAAAGGGTTTATTATGACACAGATTCAGAGAAAAAAGAGATCTGAAGATAGAGGAGAGAGGTTTCATAAAGAAGAGGATCAAAGGAAGTTTCAGAGTGAAGGGATGGGAAAAGAGGGGAGGCAGTTCTTGGCTCCTGAACTGTCCTGAACAAGGAGACTGGAGCAGAAAACTGAACTGGGGGGTGGGGATTTAGTTGGTTTAGAGTTTGTCACAGAGTTTACAACTAGCAGTCCATAGACCATATTCGGCCTGGAAACTTTTTATTTTCTTCTGGGGTCTACAGCATTTTTTTTTTTTTTAATTCAAATCAATTCTCACATTCGCAAGTGGGAAATTCCACAGAAGAGTGATTTCTGGCTCCTCTTAAAGAATTGGAAGAGCGGGGCACCTGGGTGGCTCAGTCGTTAAGCGTCTGCCTTCGGCTCAGGTCATGGTCCCAGGGTCCTGGAATCGAGCCCTGCTCGGCGGGAAGCCTGCTTCTCCCTCTCCCACTCCCCCTGCTTGTGTTCCCTCTCTTGCTGTCTCTCTGTCAAATAAATAAATAAAATCTTAAAAAAAAAAAAAAAGAATTGGAAGAGCTGGTAACGAAGGACACCATTACAGCCATGTCAACAATCAAAATTGTGTAGAGCCTGACCCTTAGGCAGGTGCGTTTTCGTCCATCCGACTGGTCTCCTCCAGATCCACTGAACTTATTTACACTACCTTGGTAGGCATTTGAATTTGCAACAACGAATCCATAAGAAACACATGAAATATCTTCTAAGAACTTGAAGCAATGTCAGTATGATTAGGAAAGTGCTTAAAATTATTCTGTTCACTTTAAAAAGAAACGGCCGGGTATTAAGTAGGGCACGTATTGAATGGAGCACTGGGTGTTATACGCAAACAATGAATCATGGACACTACATCAAAAACTAATGATGTAATGTATAGTCATTAACATAACATAATAAAATAAAATTTAAAAAAAATTAAACCCTGAAAATCCTAAAAAAAAAAAAAAAGAAAGAAAGAAACGGCCAGCTCTTAAGTTATGTCATGAATTACTGGAGTAGGAAAAGTAGGTTGAGTCATCTACACTTCAGAGAAGACTAAAAAAGATCATGGAGTTGCCCATAAGCTGAAAATTATTCATTTAATTCAATGAACAATGGTAAGCAATCACAGTTTTTACATAGAGGAGTGATATGATTGTAGCTAATTCTGGCTTTTTCAAAAGATGGTAATTCTGACTAAAATAAATTTTAAAATGTATACGCTTTATTTCAGGAAATAAACAGGTTATTTTTTTATTTGCATTTTTTTTATTCTTATGTTAATCCCAATACATATAAACAGGTTATTTTATGAACTATGTTGGAAATAAATGTACTGTGAAGTACATTTATATTTTGATTTATAACTTGGTTGACCTCAATTTGAATCATTTGTCCTATAACATTTTTTTCAGTGCTCTATATGAATTTCAAAACACTTCCCATAAATTCCAGCATAAATATATGTGGAAACACAATCATTAAAATAGTTTTACAAGTTATGTGTTTGCCAATAATTTTCCTTTTCTTTATATCACTTATAGGCAATTATTTCCAAATGGAAAATAATTCACAGTGAATATATTCTAGAGTCCATTTATAAATAAAAGGTAATCATTTCTGAGATATATGTATTCTAAAATTTTCCACGTTTGCTGTTGGCTTTTTTTTTTTTTTTGCTGTTCACTTTAAAATGCCAAAATGTCAGTTGATTACATAAAGAATGTTATTTTTATTAAGAAAGTTATTTCTTTCATAACATTTATATATGCGTAGTCAGCCTTTTGAATAATAGGATTTGTAACAAGGACTGTTTTTATCCTATAGTAAAAACACTCATGTGTTTTAATATATTCATATAATAAATTCAGTAATTTGTGCCTTATAATATAGTTTTCTCTTTTTTTAAGTGAACAAGGTAAATTATGCACTTCCTTGTGATAATTAAATTAGTTCAAGCTCTCTCTCCTTTTCTAAGAAACTATGTAACTGAATGGACACATCTCAGCCTTTGGCCTTTTTATTTTCTCCCATTTCTTTCTTCCATTCTATTAGTTCTCCCCTCCTAAAGTTATTAGTCACCTCTGCCTTTAAGATAATATACTTATAAAATTTCAGGGCGCCTGGGTGGCTCAGTTGGTTAAGCGACTGCCTTCGGCTCAGGTCATGATCCTGGAGTCCCGGGATCGAGTCCCGCATCAGGCTCCCTGCTCAGCGGGGAGTCTGCTTCTCCCTCTGATCCTCCTCCCTCTCATGCTCTCTGTCTCTCATTCTCTCTCTCTCAAATAAATAAATAAAATCTTTAAAAAAAAATAAAAATAAATTTAAAAAAAAGATAATATACTTATAAAATTTCAAACCCTGCACATGGGCTATTGGCCAGGAATAAGTTCAGCAGCAACTACTAGTTATCTATCAGCTAGGGTTATTTTTCATTTCTATTGTCCCGAGAACCATTTGTTTTTAGAACCATAGTCTCCTTAGTTTATTACAAATGAGCTTGAATTTGACATTTGTATGTGAATTGCACACATTTTTATTTCCTGGAGAGAGCCAGCCTGATGAGAAATTTTAAAATGATCTCCTTTTCAAGGTAAGGGATTTTACTTAAGCCAACAAATGCTTATCCCTGACAATAGAACTGCAAAAGAAGACTATAATTATTTTGATAATCGTTGGGTTTCTGGAAGAGATACTCACATATACGCACATATTTAGGTGGTCGTTGTGCCATTCATACCTCATAAATCAATCTGGCGGGTCCTTATAATCACTTGTGCTTTTCACATCTGAATCTCCTTTGTTTTTCAATGTCTTCTTTGTGCTGAAATCTTGAGATCATGTGTATTATTCCAAAAGTGTTTCACCAAGATATAAACAGACTTGTCTATATTTTTCTTGATCTATAATGTGATTTCTTTGTGTAGTCTACCTAAAGTCATATTGCTTTTTTTTTTTCCTACACCGCCTTGCATTACACGTTCATATAAATTTGCTGCTGGTTATCACCTCAGTCCATTTAGCATTACTACTTTTCAAGTTTTTCCTCCTGTATGAGTGTCTGTGTTTCATTTCACGTTTCCCAAATACACTGGCTCCATTTATCAAAACATCACTGTTTGGAACAATTCTCTGTGTATCATTAGTCAGCAAATTTCTTTTAACATTTTATGCTCAAACACACCCCAATAGGAATTTGGTGATGATTTTGACAGCCCCTCAAAAAATAATGCATCAAATTTCAAAAATGTTACTGATAAACTGAATTTCTTTTATGTAGTCATCTGGATCTCTAACTTATTCCAGCTTAAGGTACTAAGTTCTTCCAGTATCATTGAAATTACATGATTTCTACATCTTCACGAGCTTTGACTAAAGCTATCTCTATGTGAAAGAAGGAATCAAAAACTAAATTTTTCACAACAGAGATTGATAATGTGATATGCTGAATATGTAAGGGATATCATTGATCGCATATCATCAACAGCCTTAATGTGTACCTCACAATAGTGTCTTGTATTGCCATTCAACTCTTATATTTAACTTTTCATGTTTTGTCTCTTCAAATGGATTCTAAGTGCTTGAGAACATGGAGTGTGTGTGTGTGTTTCTTGGGATTTTCCACAGGTTCTATATATGACAAAAGCTTAGAAATAAATTAAGAAGGAAAGAAGAGAGGGAAAGGGGGAGGAAGTGGGCAATAAACAGAAGAGTCCTTAAATAACACTCCCAAGATGGGAAAAGCAGGAGACCCAAGGCTTATTGACTGTCCCACCAACTCACTTGTCACTAAAATTTCTTTAGGGAAGGGGAGAGGTAGCCCAATCATATACTGTTTATGCTTTTTGGAATGAAAAAAATGACTACTATTGAAGAGAAAGGGAAAATTATCAGCTCCTAAAGAGACTGAAATTAACATGAAATATAAAGTATGGTAAGATAGTGGTAGCAGGATATTCAGTGCATTTTAGACAGGCACTTAGTACACAGCAAGGACTCGGCACATGTTTACAGGATCCGTTAATAGTAATATCTCACCACTTGTATAAACTCAATCATATGCCAATCATGATGCAAGGGCTTTATGTGAATCATCTATTTCGGAAAACTCATTAAATTTATATAAACAGGTAATAATTCATTTCATATAAATACTTAGTGTGTATGATTCACCTTACTGAATTCTTGCTACAGTTCTATGATGTAAGGAGTATTACAGTCTATCTATATTCTACATGTCTGCAGATGAGTAACTGAAGCTCAAAAGGATGAGTAACTAACCCGAGCTTTTACAGCTAGCTAGTAAATGGCCCGGCAGAGTTCAAAACCAGGTGCTCAACTCCATTCAGGCACTGCTCCGTTAGAGCTCTCCAGACTCTGTTACTTAAGTAATATGCCTTATTAAGACAGGATTATGCAATTCTGTTTGCATGTTCTTACCCATGCTAGGCGCCATGATCTTAACACTAATAGTCAAGTGCTATATATAACAATACCCCAAAGAATAATGCAGCCTGGGGACTTCATTAAGGGATTTCTGGGGAATGTCTGAATCCATACACAGGAATGAGACCTACGTACATTTTGCTAGTCTTAGGCCTGGTTATAGACAACAAATTAAAAGCACGGTACCCTGGAGAGGACATAACAATTCCTCATAGGAACCTTAACCTCATGTGAGCAAAAGAATAGCTCATCTCTGTTTTGTGGTGGTCCCAATTCTTTTTCTCTGTGCGTTGCCCAGCTCTTCTACACTCTTGGGTTCTAGGATTGTCTTCTCTGTTTTGAGGTATCTAGGATAAAATCTTGGTCTTTTCCTTTGCAAATGCCTGTAGTTCTCTTTAGGTACTCCTAAAGCACCCCCGGGGGCTTACACTCCTCATTTGTGTTTGGCTAATGGTCTGTCCAGCTAGAGGTCTCTCGGCCAGTCACTGTCTGTTTGACAGATTGGCTCAAAGTGTAGATTTTAAAGTACACTTGTGTTGGCAACAAGAAGCGTTTTCTGTTTCGAAAAAGCATTTCCCAGCGTCCCATGCCATGATACTTTCTGTCTGTCTACACATCCTGTTAGAAACAGTGGCTCAGAGACATTACTCTTTGATTATTTCATATCCAGTATCGTGTGAGCTTCTTATCTCCTACGTGATCCACTTTTCACATACTCAAATCCTTTCCTTGTATTCCTTAGGACTAGTTTTTACTACTGGCCCACGTCAGTCCTTTGTTCCTTTTCCATCCTTTGAGATTTTCCAGTACCGTGGTCCTAGACTGGGTAATAAGCCTTAGAGAAGCCTACATTCCAACTGGGGCACAGCATGCTGTCTATCTCTGCTGTGAATAATTCAATGATTCTGTGGTTCCAATCCTTTCATTTACATTGAGATCATCTTTCATTAATCTTTTGGGTGTTAGAAAAATAGGAAGTGCCCCACATGCTTTATTCTAAGATGTGAGTGAGAATACTTGTGATCTGAACTAGAGAAGCTATGACTTCAGTCATTCAACAGATGTTTTTAAGAACCCCTACGTATGAGAGAAATGGCAGTGAACGAGACAAGGAAGGACTCTGCTCTCATGGAATTTACATTTTATGACTTTGTCATTATTTAATATTTATCAACTACATTTGATATGAAAAACATATGTTAGGTGTTTTGGCCAGCCAATAAATAACACCTCTCTTTCACAACTGAACTCAGAACCAATTTAAAGATAGAAGAGATAGATAGGTAGATGGAGATCAAACCAACAGCTTTATTAGTTAAAGCTGATTGGAGACTGTGGCTTTAAATCTGCCTTTATCACTGAATTTTTTTTTTTTTTAAGATTTTATTTATTTATTTGACAGAGAGAGAGACAGCGAGAGAGGGAACACAAGCAGGGGGAGTGGGAGAGCGAGAAGCAGGCTTCCCGCTGAGCAGGGAGCCCGATGCGGGGCTCGATCCCAGGACCCTGGGATCATGACCTGAGCTGAAGGCAGACGCTTAACGACTGAGCCACCCAGGCGCCCCTTTATCACTGAATTTAAAAGACTTGTTTCCTTATTCACTGGTATAGTTTGACAGCCGCAGGCCATTTCCCCCTAGAAACAGAGCCCTTCCCACATGCAAGAAGGGCTGTGGGGTTGCATGAATCCTATGGACATATTCACTCTGAAAAAGAGAAGTCCAGAAGGGGCTGGGTCCAGGATGTTTGGTTTCCTCTCTTGAATTCACAAATCAGATAGATAGCTGAAGGGAGAGGCCAAGAGTATCTGGCAGAAATCCCATCACGTGGAAACATGAAACCGGAGTGACTTTTTACGCAAGTAACAGTTGAGACTCTGAAAACTGGTTGAGTCAGGGAAAACTTATTTGTCCTCAGAACACTCAAGATTTATGGGGACTTAGGAAAAACTCCCTAGGAGTCATGGGTCCATGAGTTAATTAAAACTGATTTTGAGAGTTTGTAAATGGTCATAGTACCAATGGTGACTTTCGTTTTGAAAGCAAAAATTGCAGGTGAGATCAGGAGTTGCAAGCTTTCCATTCACGTCTGAATTAAAGTAAACAGCAATTTAAAATACAGTCTATGTAACAGTGAGGAGTAATTATGACAACAATTGGAAGAAATATTTTTAAAGAACCATTACATGTAAAGACAAGTTGCTTGAGTAAGCCTATCATTGAAAATTCAGTATCACCTTCTTGCAGGTTTGGGCTTATTAAACCATTTTCCAATATAATCTAAGAAGACACAAATGGTTTTTGACCATAACAACTAGAGTAATCGCCAATAAGCCCTCAAGTAATTTGGGATGATGGCTCTCTCGCTCTGGAAGCTGGGGCAAACACAAGAGTCAGTCATATTCCAAAGCTGTTGCTTGTTCCTAAGAGATCAGGTCACACTGTTGAGTCCCCCAATTTATTTAAATTTGTTATTTTATTTCAAGTGCTAATTGTCTCTCACAACAAACAGAGACTCCTCTCAGCTGCAATTATTGGCATTACAATAGATAATCAATAGGAAAGCCCGAATGCAGATCAGGAGAAGTTGCCTTGGTTGCAAACCTGAGATGCTTTGGGTATTACAGTTCTAACTGTGTTTCGAAATTTACTAAAACACCCCAAGAGCAAAGTGTTCCTTCCGTTCTTCTTTGTGGCCCCTCTACATTAGTTTTAGCCAATATGGAGTCTTAGTCTTATACAGATATTTTTATGAGGTCTCTTCAATAAATAACCTTGAAACACAGGGCTTTCGTTTAGAACATTTGTATTGCGTGTTCATGCACTTAAAGAATAATGAGAAGGAATCAGTTATTATTTTGTGTTAGAGAAGCATATTATTATATTTGCTCTATCCACAATCACACAATGCAGACATTAGTCTACATTATACTCTCATCTCTCTTTTTTTTTTAAAGCAAACAGAAAAATAAATCACCCTACAGCCCATCAGTATTCCAGTACCAAAGTGGTATTTTCCCTCTTGAGTATGGATCGAGTAGGGCTAGAAGGGCAGGCCAAAAGGTAGAGCCCCATAATAGGGCTCTGTTAGTAATTGCTCTGTTTTGTTGCTTCCTCGTTTATTTAGGACATTGAGGTTTTAAGTTAAGATGATTTTTCTGATAATGATCTTAATATAACTAGCCATTTAGAAAGCACATAATAAAATCCATGCTATCCTTAAGAGAACAGCTTGTTGTTTATCAGCCTGTATTAATGGTCGGTGTGACTTCTCCCTTCACTCATGAATCTTAGTTAGAGGAGACATTTTTATTTATTTCCAAAATATCACATGCACCCACAGATGACTTACATTTCACTATCTCAATCATGATACTCAGAAGTACAAATAATAGCTACCATGTATGGTATTATGGACTTAATACATGACAGGCCCTGTACCAGTACTTTGTACAAATATTGTACTATCTAATCTTTACACAAATCCCATCATGCAGGAATTATTAACCATATTTACAGAGGAAGAAACTACGGCTTATAATACAACTTGAAGGGATTTTTTAAATCCATTTTTTTTTTTTTTTTAAACTAACAAGGTAGAGTGGAATGCTTAAGAGTCAGAATACTGGAGTAAAATCCTGGTTCTGCCTATTAGGGCTGTGTGATTACTGGCAAGTTACTTAACTTCTCTCTATCACAGTTTTATTTTTTAATCTATAAAATGGGAAAATAAAAGAAAGAGTTACAGTAAGAACTAAGTGAGTTAATACATGTAAAGCACTTAAAATACTGCCAGGCATGTGGTAATTATCCAGGGTTAACTCTTTAAGTATTTGGAATATTGTATATAATTTCTCAAAGTGATTATGTTTTTTTTAAAAGATTTTATTTATTTATTTTAGAGAGAGAGCAGGAGCTGGGGAGGGACAGAAGAAGAGAGAGAGAGAGAATCTCCAGCTGACTCCACGCTGAGCACTGAGCCTGATGG